GATATGTTTTACAGTCAGTTGTGTGTAATTCACCAACATAGTATCATCGAATATGTGTTTCAAGCAATTTTTTTTCTCAAATTTGAAAGTTTTGGTGCGGGAAGAAATTAAGGGAAAAACTTCTGTTTAATAATTGTGGTTTGTTTAAAATTTATTTCCTGGAAAAAAGTGATCGACAAAGTCCATGTCTTTTTCGGGTTATTGTTGAGGGGGGAGAGGCTGTTGTGAAGGGGGGAAGGGAAGGGGGGGCTTTTCCTCATTCCTCGTTGTGTCGCATTCTTCATTGGGGTCACGCCGTGATCCATCTTTAGCCACTGGCTTGCTGCAGGACCAAGTGCCACGCCGTCCGAGGCGACAGTGAAGTGAGCAAATGCACGACAGTAGCGCTGTTTTATATCTTTTCAGGTTCAAGCAGAACGATGTGCAACCTAACCTGATAGGATTTCCCGCCGTTTTTTTATGAATGGGGCGGAGCAAAAAGTTTGTTTTGTGCAGAATATGTAGAAAAGGATGGACTTTGGATGTTAATGTAATTGCATATATCGAGGTACAAGATATGTTTTACAGTCAGTTGTTGGTAATTCATCGAGTGTATGTCTCCTGTTAAGCAATTTTTTTTTTTTGAAAATGTTGGCTCTGCATGTAAAACATTAATTGTTTATACATAATTGTGCTTTGCTTAATATTTATTTCCCGGAAAAAAATGATCGTCAAAGTCCATGACTCTTTCGGGTTCTGTTAAGGGGGAAGGGGGAGAAGTTGTTAAGGGGGAGGAGGTTTTACATGCACGTTTTTTCAAGTCTCATTCCTCATTGTGGTGGACACGCCGTGATCCACCTTTGGCAGCTGACTTGGTCCTGCTTGCTGCAGGACCTAGTGCCACGCCGTCCGAAGCGGTAATGAGCAGAGGCAGGAGAGCAGCGCTGATTTATATCTTTTCAGGTTCAAGCAGAATGATGTGCAACCAAGTCGTATTCGATGACTGGGTTTGGGAAAAAGGCTTATTTCATGAAAACAGTGATAAAATTATCATTTGTACATTTTCAAAAGTTTAATTACAGAAAAATTAGAAAAATATTTATTTCAGCAGGTTTGTAATGTAATTTCCTATCGATTGGCGTATTTGGATTTAAATTTCATCTATAAATGACAAAGTTACAAGCGTTCAAAACCTAGCACTCCTTCACCACACATATTTTTTTTGATTTGCACCCCAGTAAAGTCGACAAAGACCTAGTTCTACGTAAAAAAAAAAACAAAAAAAAAACATGAAGGACGACGGCAAGACGCCAGACAGTGAAAATGGAGGAGCGATCCGAGCAAAGTCCAGCATCAACATGACAGCAAATTAAAATCAAGTTTTGATATCAACATCAAACTGAAATCCTAATTTAATTTCAGTTTATGCAATTGAAAAATTTGATACCAAATTTTGTTTTCAATTTGCTGTACATTTGCTCTTCAAAAATATGTTGTTGCGGGTTTGTTTTCATTTATTTAGCATAACATCAAATTGAATACTTGTTTTGTTATCAACAGGAAAAATTGATATAAAGTTGAGTTTTCAGTTTGCTCTCACTGATAGCAAAAATAGTTTTCAATGTGATGTCAGAGGAAGATTTTCAATCTCAATTTTGATATTTTAACCGTAAAAACGACCAAAACGACAGCAACTTGTGTAATCATTATCAGCAAAATCACAATATCAAATTTAGATTTCAATTTGATCTCAGAATTTACTCGGGGAACGTGTTCGCATGGAGCGGCATATAGCAGAGATTACCAGTGTAGAACCAGGAGGCCACAGCGAGTTCCAGTAGCAGCAGTAAGCCCAAAGGTGAGCAGCAAGGACACCAAGGAGAACTAGGTCTTGTGCTAAGCCACATGTTCACACCGAAGACCAAATTAATGGAGGTCAGGAGGATGATCAATGATCTCCATGACTTCGTCAAGGATAAGAGCAACGTCCACAATGCAATTATGGAAATGGTGACGGGCATAAATCTGCCATTATTGCTGCCGAACGTGAACAAGATGCGCTGAGGACGAGATCCGTGAATGCCGAAAAGGCACTGATCGAAGCCAAGGAGAAAGCAGCAGCTGAAGCACAGGAGACGCCAAAGGGACCTCGAAATCCACGCTCGGTGAAGAAGAAAAGGGAAACGCCAGGAGAGGAAGAGGAATTGAAAAAATTCAAGAACAGTGTTGGCAAAATATCAAATTCAAATCTCCCCAAGGCCCAAGATCACGCTTGATTATCGTAGACAAAAATCAACAAGCACACAACTGCGGTTGATATTGAAAGTTGTGATGTCGCAGCTCGGAATATCAAGCTAACAAAACTCACCAGCTGCAAATCTCTCCAAACTGTGGTGAGATTAAGATTCATGATTTTTGCTTTGCAGTCGAACGCAACCGAAACTTCCATAATGACTAGCAGCAGTCGCTTTGTGACTGCCATCGGTGAAGATAAAAAGAGATAGCATTATTATACCTTCTCTTTCTAAGAAAACGAGGTGCAACATAATCATTTTTGCGTCGATTCAACTCTCAGCTTCAACTTGACACGTTGTAAATAGTTTCGCAATATCAAAGGATCTTGTAAAATCAATATAAAATCCATTTGCTAATGATCATGCCATCGCCATCACTGGTCAAGAACGACAAGGAAGATAACAAGGGGCCGTATGAATAAAAAGAGTATACTTTACTTTCCCATGCTTTTATTCATACAACCTAAGGAAGAAGGCTGGCGTACCGTCGAGAAGCTGAAGGAGAAAGAAAAAGAAGGAAAAAGAAGTGAAGAAGAAAGAAGAGCAGAAGAAGGAGAAACCCATGCCTCGTCGGGAGTGAAGTAAGGGCGATGCTCTGTTCATCGAAGCAAAAGACAAAACGTCGTATGCAGAACTGCTCCGGAAGGTTCGAGAGGATCCCGAGTTGAAGCAACTAGGAAAGAACGTGGTGAAAACCAGGCGCACCCAGAAAGGCGAGATGCTCTTTGAGCTGAAGAAGGATCTTGTGATCAAGAGCTCAGCCTTAAAGGAGCTCGTCGAAAAGTCTCTTGGCGAAGGGTCGTGCGTAAGATCTCTATCCCAGGAGACAGTGGTCGAGTGCAGAGATCTGGACGAGATCACTACAGAAGTGAAGCTGAGAACGTCCCGATTTCAATCCGGATGAGGAAGGCGTATGGCGGTATGCAAACGGTGGTGATACGGCTTTCGACAGTTGGCAGCGAACAAGCTGTTGGAGACGGGCAAGGTCAAGGTTGGGTGGTCAGTGTGCTCGCTGAAAGCCACTCCTCGGGTTACAAAGCAACTGGAGCGATGCTTCAAGTGCATGGGTTTCGGCCCCCAGGCGAGGAACTGCAATGGCCCTGACAGATCTAATCTGTGCAGTAAATGCGGGGAGAAAGATCAAATTGCAAGAGGCTGCACGAAACAAGTGAGGTGTATGTTCTGCAAAAAAAGAGGACGGAAACGATCATACGACGGGAGGCTTCAAATGCCTAGCATACAAAAAGGTGACGACAGGCCAACAGTAATGGAGGTAACCCAAATAAACCTCAATCATTGTGACATTGCTCAGCAACTGTTGTTTCTGGCGACAACAGAAACAAAGTGCGACACTACAAACATTGCAGAACCGTATCGACTCCCTCTTGATAACGGTAACTGGGTGGCGGATATAGCTGGGATGGCTGCTATACAAGTTGTGGGCAGATACCCCATTCAAGAAGTGGTTGCGAGCTCATACGAAGGCTTCGTGATCGCCAAAATCAACGGAATCTTCATATGTAGTTGTTACGCACCCCCTAGATGGACGATGGAGCTGTTCCATGAGATGCTGGGTGGACTTACCAAAGAGCTGATTGGACGACGACCGGTAGTCATCGGAGGAGGCTTCAATGCTTGAGCAGTGGAGTGGGGAAGCAGATGTTCCAATGCAAGAGGGCACAGTCTGCTGGAAGCTCTGGAAAAACTGGAAGTAATGCTGGCCAACGATGGCACCAGCAGCACTTTTTGCAGAGATTGCCGGAAATCCATTATCGACGTTACTTTCTGCAGTCCGTCGCTGATGGCTAACATGGATTGTGTGCGAAGGATATACCCATAGCGACCATTAGGCGATCCGATATGGCATGGACCAACGGAATACTGTGGCAGTACGGAGGACGAGAACTTGTGACCGGAAGTTGAAGACGAAGGCTTTCGACAAAGATCTTTTCGTTGAGGCATTCCGTGTGGACAGGAGCCCCGTGGTTCTGAACGCGGTCGAGCTGACAAAAACGTTAGTGAGAGCATGTGACACGACCATGCCGAGGAAAGTGGAGCCAAATACAAACGGCGTTCAGTTTACAGGTGGAACGAGGCACTTAGAACCCTCCGCGCTAGTTTTCTTAGAGCCAGAAGACGTGTTCAGATAGCAAGAACAGAAGCAGACAGAGAGGAACGACAGATTGGTAACTAGATGCAAGGAGCGAAGCTGCAGATAGCCCACCACAAAACGGAAGTGTTATTGATCAGTAACTGTAAAGCGGTACAGCGGGCAGAAATCACCGTCGGGGAGCACGCCATAGCCTCGAAGCGTGTGTTAAAATATCTGGGAGTAATGATCCATTACCGGATAAACTTCAACACCCAGGCAACCAGAAGTTGTATAACAATGTACAGACAGTATGGTAAATTGCTACCGTTTAAGTCAAAATCGCTTATAATAATGGCATTATGTTTAAGTGAAATCGTATAGAATGCAAATTTCCGACCTATATGCAACAGCTCATTTTTTCGTCGTATATGATGTTAAACAAACTCGTTTAAAGTTAATTTAAAATATGCACGTATATGGCCTCCACTTTTGTACGTATAAGCCATTTCTTTGCATTCTATACGAATTGATTGCTTGTATATATGTTTGTATATCATGAAAACAACTTTGAATATACGTGCTTTCTGGGCAGCCACGTCGAATATGCCTGTGAGAAGGCTTCGAAGGCTAGAATCATGCCGAAAAACGCTGGTCCCAGCAGTAGCAAGAGGTATCTTCTGGCCAGTGTGTCATCATCGATACTAAGATATGGGGGTCCAGCCTGGGTTCCAGCGCTGGAAACGAAGCAGAACCAAAAGAAATTGAGCAGTACGTTCCGGCTAATGGTCATGCAAGTCGTGAGTGCGTACAGGAACATGTCATCGGAAGCAGTATGCGTTATCGCCGGTATGATCCCTATCGGCATCACCCTGGCGGAGGACAGTGAGTGCTACTGGCGGAGAGAAGCCGGAAGAGTACGGAAAGTTGTAAGAGCAGAATCGTTGGCTAAGTGGCAACAGGAGTGGAACACGGCGGAGAACGGAGGATGGACACATCGACTAATACCGATTCTTTCAACCTGGGTGATCAGAAAACATGGAGAAGTCAACTTCCACCTAACGGAGTTCCTGTCTGTCCAAGGCTGCTTCAGGAAATACCTGCATCGGTTCGGACACGCAGCGTCACCCTATGTCCGGAGTGTGGCAATGTCGATGAAACGCCGGAGCATGAGGTCTTCGACTGTCCAAAGTTCGAGGCAGTGTGAAGGAAGATGCCCGTCCTTAACTCGGAGAACGTCGTCCATGAAATGTTTCGAGAGGAGGGTACTTGGAATGTCGTCAACAGGCCACGCTTCTTGAAACTTTCCTAAGCCTTACTATAAAAAAAGAATAAAAAAAAACATACACACACATTGTGGCAGTAAACAGCACAAATATCAGCCACCGTCTTCAATACCAATTTTGAATTGAGTGCTTTACGTTACTGCATCGTAAGGGTTGTTTTCGTCTTTTGCGTACAAAACCAACGAAAACAAAACTTTTACTCAGAACTTTCTTTACTATAAACTTAAATTTCGATTAGTATCCGAAACATTACATTGTACGATGGAATGACCAATGATGTGGGGGTACGACGAAGTGCCGCAAAACCCTACCATCCATCATCGCCAGGAAGAACCATTACTGCTAAACGTCTGAGCGATGAAAAAGTCTATAGTCTGTGAACTTGTGAATGAGCGAGAAACATAATAAAAAGTTATAGGCTGGCATTCCATTGTCAGTGGCCGTCGATGTGGTTGGGTTGCAAGTGTTGCACTGTCTGCTTGCATGCTTGAATCGCTATGTACTATAGATTGTGTTGCATACATGTATATCCGGCTGACACATAAAACTCGGAATGTCGTGGTTTCCTGTACGGGTGGGGTTAGCCGGGTTGTATGACAGAGTGATTTTAAAATTTCCTTGAAACAAGATACGAAATTTCTGAAACAAGAATTACTACTTGGGAGCAATTATATTCATGGTTATCCGGGTGCAAATTGAGTAAACTGTCGAAAAAAATTCTACATAGAGAGATCACGACAAACAATGGCAATGAAATCAGTTTTCATCAGGATTCGATGTTGGCGTTAGCAGTTCTCTAATCTATTTTTCATTCTTTACTAAATTTACTTCGTTACAAGTTTAGGACATATATTTTGCAATTTATCAACACAAATTAATTCATGGACAAATATGTCAAATTCATGTAGGCCCTAGGCAAAAACTGGAAAACTTACCCTACATGATTAATATTCGCATGGGGTACATAATGGGGTAAATTTTGAAGATTTTTAAATACCAAACCGGAAAATGAGGAATTGGGAAATACACAACACAGAGACTAAGATTATTTTTCCGAAATCTATGAAATTTTACCAAAATCTCAACACATTTTTCACAGTTTGCCTGTAATTTTTCAACGAATATCTGTGGAATATCACAGAAAATTTGTAAAAAATCACCATACTGTTTACCGAACGTTCGACTGTTGAGATTTCGGTAAAATTTCACAGATTTCTGTTAAATAATCTTAGTGTGCAAAATTTTTAAATTACGTGCACAGCTCAAGTTGAAACATACAGGAATAAAACTTTAGACATTCTACAGATGTACAAAGTACACCGTTGTACCATAAACTAACACTACGACCAGGGGGTCCTGATGCAACGTGTTCAATCTTTTGGCTCAGGAAGTACCAGACCTTCGGTCCCAAGCTTATTGAAGTACCCCTCGAAACGAAGAAACCCTTCGTCAAATTTATAAGACGAATCAAAACAAACAGAGATTCTAGTACGAGAATGGGCTACGCTTATGGAGTCAATTTACAATCGTTAGTAGAGCATTGATTGTTGATTGTTCTGCTTTAAGCATGCTTGGCATACACAGTTTTGGTCACGAACTGCTCATTTGCTAATAACTTTACACAGAGTTGACGAAACATTGTTCTTTTTGAAGCAGTAGATATAATAGAGTTTAAGCTTGTTATAGGTACATAAAACAAAGTAGATTTCAATTCTAGTAATAAACTGTATTTGTTTTTGCGTTGTAAAAATGAAGTGAGAAATGCTCGCTGCACATCTCGGACTTTAAAAGTAAAAATTCATTGGTCTTGATTCAAATGTTAAGATTTAACTACTTTTTGCATATTTATAGTAAGCTATGATCCTAATCTATCAAATACTTTAAAGAAAAATAAATTTCAACAACTGAGTGAAAAGTTATTAACAAATGAGCAGTTGGTGTGTACAACTGTGTATGCCAAGCATGGCTTTAAGCTTGTACCTCAAATTGCACTTTTTGAGGTACTAGCTTAAAGGAGTACAAACAACGGTACAGCTTTGTATGCCTGTCGAAGGTATCAGTTTCACTTGAATGAATTTAAAAACGTTAAACGTTGTTATCCAATTTAATGGTAATTTTCTATTGGTGTTTCCATAAGCATAATGAATTTTTTTTTACTCAGGGTTATGCAGCAATGCACGGAGCATCTAATCTTCAGACTTGAACTTTATGGAATGTGCTTTCTCCTCCGCAATCCGGTAAGTTGCTTTTATATGAACGGGATCCGCAATTTCGTCCATGGCGAGTTTCGCATTTCCATTGCCAGAGCTGAGCTTGGTGGTATTCTTTATTTTAACACCACTCCTCATCATCAAATGTTTGATTGCAACGGCAACCACAATGCAATCGATCTGACACCATGAGATACAACTGCTGCTGCGTCAACAGCAGAAAGCGAACTGAAATTACTTTTTATGTCTTCTGTCTTATTCATTTAGTTTATGTTTTTGTATTCAAGCTTTCAAAAACTAAAGTAAAGCTTAAAAAATAAGTATCATGGAAGGAAACTCAATAGCTAAGTCAACCATTCAAACAGTTTTTAGCGCCAAACGAAAGATAGTACAACTCCTCTGAAGAACGCCAAGTTCAAAGGCCGAAATGTCGGACATAAAATAGGGCACGTGATTTGATCCACCGTTAGACTGAAAAGCCTATATACCGAAATTCACCAACTGTGAAGACTGACCCTTCTTACGCATTTCTTTTGATGGGTTTTGGCCCTAGAAAGGATCTGAAACTACACACCACATTTTAAAATTGAGCTCCAGTAAAATGGAAACCCATGATTGAAAAGTTTTGATGGAAGCCTAGTTAATCACAAGAAATGTCAAAGAGTTTCTTTTTCTATTAAAATATTAATGCCATTTTGCTTCCAGCAATATGACAAACGAGATTGAACTTCAACCTAAAATGCATGGATACAAATTGGTTGCTCGCTTATTCGATGGAAATCTGTAGATACATTCGATGTTAGGAAAAATGATTTTACTAAATGCCTAAATTTTCATAGATATAGTACTAGAAACGCGAATGAAATAATAACACCACATTTTTTGACCTGTGCTTCACAAAATTCTTAATATTTTAAAGGAAAAAATGTTTTCAATTCGATGCCTAGACATATCAAATGTTCAGAATTTAAGAAGAACTACATTTATTACGTCGAAGCTGTATTTTGAACAGTTATCTAGTGACTTATTTTAATGTGTTGACATATTATGTAGCTTGACGAAGTTATCTCTTACGGATTATTGTGTATACATAGCTGTCATAACGACACGTAGTAGGTTTTTTTACTGAATGTCGTTTGTGAGGATGTAACTGTAACCAGTTCATCTTTGCTTAAAATATGGTTAAGATGTCATACCTAATTATCAAAAAGATAAATCGTCCAGCTCAAACATTTGTAAGGGATAGAGTTAGGAGCTGATCACTTCCCCTCGGGAAGCCGGTCAGATGCGTCTAAAGGGTGTTACTATCAAAAAATAGTCAAACAAGAATGCGTGTAAATTTATTTTTTTTTATTATCAATTATTTTTCTTTTTTAAGTAGACCGAATCCGACTTGCTGAGGCTTTTGTTTACCTCCTGCTATCAGGTTTTGTACAGCCATATCGTCCAATTTGTTCGCCGTAGAGCATAATACTCGAGTATTAGTACAAGACATGTGGTCCTGGGTACTTAATATAATCACAATTGCACTTGTTTTTGAATCCTCATGGGACGACACCTCAATCGTATGATGGTTTTTAATCCAAGAAACTGTCCACTTTGTCTGGGGTACCCGGATCATGTCCGGATGCGGCCAATTTCTTCCTAGACGCTCAACATGATAACCATTCATCTTCTTTTTGCATTCTCATGTGATTTGAGGTGTGATGATGAGATGTGATGATGAGATGTGATGATGAGATGTGATGATGGGTTTAACATGATTCAAGCCGTTTGTTACGTTTAAAGAATATGCGCACATCGATTGACAGCATATTTGACGGCTGGAACGAAACGAGAACGGAAATAAACGGTGACACACGCACACACAAAAACAAGCAAGCATTGAGGTTTTTCTTCTTTCTCCACTCGTGAATAGCGTCGCATGCAACTGTGTACGGGAGCAATTTTTGTGGTGAATAGTGGTGGTTCCTAGTATCTTGGCACGGCCATTACCCGTAGTGTCAGTGGAAAGCTGACGACAGAACCAGCTAGTAAGGAGCGGAGAAAGCACCAGCGATTCCGAAACAAATACCGATACATTCGATCGCCACGTGAGAAAGCGTTACGAACAACGACGCAATTTGCCTCATAAAACACAGACGGAACTCGCTACGGGCGGTTTTCGGGCGCCGAGTGACAGCGCGTAGCCAGTGCAGATATCAAGCAAGAATCTCCGGAAAGCATAAAATGTTCTTCATCTAATCACTACCTAACCTCACCCAGGCCCGAAGACGTTGCACGTAACACGCGTCGGAGGGATCAGATTCGATTGGCAACTGATAAAAACACCTCCAATTGCAGGAGTAAGTAGTGTTAACAATGTGTTGAGGCGATTCGTTGCTGATGGGAATTTCGTTCCCAGGGTGTTTTTCTTTGCTGGTATAGTTTCTCCTAACAGAGCGTGCGGCAACATTCCGAGGGGATTCGCCGGGGGATGTTTTCGTCTCCACACACGACGAACGGCATTGCGTGCATACGTCGAGAGGGATTGATCACGGCAAGTGGCAGCAGCGAAAGGCCTGACGAGCGTCATCCAGGCGGCGAGTTTGACTGTGGTTCGCTTCATCGTTACCGGTGGTAAGTGACGTACACGGCCAACTGCAGCCGAACGACCGTCACCCAGGCGGAGGACTGCGGGCCGTTTCATTGGCACCCACGGCAATCGGCCT